GTCATGGGGCTGACAGGTACAGGCAAATCAAGCCTTATCAATTCAATGATGGGAAATATTGTTGCATTAGCTCAGGCCGGGGCAAACCCTGTTCAAAGAGAAACTCAGCACCATAAAGGAGAGCACGATGGTATAAAAGTCAAGATATATGATACTCCTGGGTTTGGAGATGAAACTCTTCCTAGTAAAGAAATATTGAAAGATATTTTTTCTAAGAATGCACCAAAGAAGGGATATGATCTTATACTTATTGCTTTGAGGATGGATAATCGTTTTGATATAAACGTTGGCATGCTATCATCTCTTAGGCGACACCAGTATATGGATCGAGGGAAAAAGTGGGAAAGAACAATTGTGGTACTTACTTTTGCTAATTCATTTGTGGATCAACTTAAAAATAATCCTCAGCAGTATACTGAAGAGCAAATGAAGGATGAATTCCAAGCGCAAAAAGAGCAATTCCAAAAGCGGTTTCAAGAGCACACTGGAAAAAATGATATTCCATTTATATTAGCAGGAAAGATGAAGCAGCGAAAGTTACCAACAGATGATGACTGGCTCGTTTCTCTTTGGGAGCAGAGCGTACTTCGATGTAGGACCAAAGTAAAACCTTTCGTAAAGCGTTTAGGTATCTTTCGTTTGATAAATCAATTGCAACTCAAATTAAGATCCATCTTCTTTACCAGTGAAGAGGAAAGTGCTGATATCAATGGGCCTGATGGTTCAGAAGGAGGTAGTGATTCTGAAGGGGAAGATGAAGAGTCTAGTAGCAGTGAAGAGGAAGGTGGCAGCTTCGATGATGGCAGCCTACAGCATGTTGAGATGGATTTACTTCAAGAGGTGAATGCTGCATTATTACCTGAACATTAACTGAAACTTTTATTAAGCTTTAATAATTTTGATTTGGTGGTATTTTTGTAGGTAGTTTTAACTTTTTCTGTAGTGAAGAATATTAGCAAAAATAGTAATGCTTAAGTGTTATATGAAATAACTGATAAAATCATAGGGTGATATACTTTCATTTTTATTGTTTATGGTATAGTGGGTTTCAGTTGAGTTTGACTGGTGAAACATCCTTATAACTTTTTTGTTATTAATGCTAGCAACTTAAAACTTGGTATGGTTGCATAACGGGTTCTTCCGCATATCTGGATTGATTTTGGAGTGTCTGGGTACTCTGGAAGGTTCTCAACGGGTTCTTCCGGTCTTCATCAAAGAAACCGCCATGATGTTGCATTGTGTGTTATGGTCGTGAATATAATTTGCATCTCATTACATTTGTTAACAATCATGTTTTATTTGTTTAAAAATAATATAAAGCAAAAGGAACACCCCAGACTAAGGGATTATTCACTAGAAGGTCTTGCACTCCAGAAAGAAGCCTCAGCTTGTCTGCTTTACCTCTCCAATCCTTCATAACTGCTGTCACTTTTTACCGCTCCGAAAATCCCTTGTAATCTTGCATTTCTTGCCTCTTTTTTGAAGTAATAACAAGGACAAAGATCCTGCAGGTAATATGTAGAGGAAATAGCGCCCAAAACAAGAGACTCAAGGAGTTAGAGGAAGAAAAAGAGAGAACATTGTAGTTTCAGCCATTTTATTTGCGTGTGTGGGCGGGGCTACACGTGACGTTTTGATGATGAAAACTTCCTGTCAAACTCAACTGAAACCGACTATAGTTTCAGTGTACATCTTCCACAATACTTTCATTTTTATTGTTTATGGGTTTATTTTTATTGTTTATGTTTGGTATAGTTGTAATAGCAAATCTGTAGCAAACCAGGATAAGGGAAATTACGAAAACCTCATAAAGGATGGGTTATGTATACATGTATAGGTTATACATCAATTTTGAGGGGTTACATTTTGAACCCGTGGATAAAGCGCGAGTTGTTCCAAGCAAAGAGCTGCTTTGAACTAGAACCGTGAAGTATTGACTGCATGTATAGTTATGCATTATTGTGCTTATGTGCTATGCTAAAAATGACTTTTGTTATGTTGAGACAAAAGAAAGTGTGAAATTATACACAGTGAATGTAATGTTTCCCCAAAATTGGGAAAATTTACCACCATTCAGAGCCCTCATTTAATAGCAGCTAAAGCATCACAGGGAATTATACATAGGTTAGTTTATTAAGTAAGTGTTGTGCAAACACCTTAAAATGTGCAGTGTAGTTGAAAATTTGTAACTTTTGCATTTTTAAAACTGTTCTTTGCCAAAAAATCTCATTCTTTTTGCCAATATCATTTGAAAAGTTTTGGCAGGGGAAGGCTAGCATGCTTTCTTCTCATTGGACTATCTTATTAATCATGTTTATTGATTTTAGCATTTTTATATTAGGGCTGTGATAATTTACTTTTTTCTTTGACATTGTTAATTTGTGTGTCAATTTTCCTCATTTAGTTTGTTAATAAATGAGAGAAAAATATTAACCATCTTTGATTGTTTTTAAGATAGTAATATGAGCAGGTATTAATAGTTTGGCCTTCCCTTTATAATTGCTTTTAAACCACAGACACAATAGTATACAGTCTATATTTAAACCACACAAAGTATACTTCTTTCTTCTTTTGTGTTCTTGATTCAATATGGCAAAGGCAGATACACCATCTGTAGGCTCTATTGAAAATATCATCTCACCAAATGAGAATTTTACTGAAGAAGATGAAGCTGCACTCAATGCTGGTGAAAATATGGTTAGAAAACAGTCACTCAGTATCAATAAAGATGAAGTTGTAAGTCAGTCGAAAATGCTCAAAGAAAGAGAGAATAGTGTAAATATTCTTGTCTTGGGGCTGACTGGTGCAGGAAAATCTACCCTGGTCAATGCCATGATGGGAGATATTTTGGCACAGTCTCAGGCTGGAGCAAAGGCTTGCTCAAGTGGAATTGTGTGCCATGAAGGAGAACATGAGGACATAAGAATCAAGATATATGACACTGCTGGGTTTGGTGAAAGTGATATTCAAGAAAAGAATATATTGCAGAATATTGCTGAGAACACACCAAGGAAAGGATATGATCTCATCCTTATAGCAATAAGAATGGATAGTCGTCTTGATACTGACAATGCAAAGAAGATGTTGTCATCTCTTGGGAGGGATATGGAACCAGAAATGTGGAAGAGGTTGATTGTAGTACTCACTTTTGCTAATTTTTTTGTCTTTCAACTTGAAAATGGGTATCAAGATTTTACTGAAGAGGCTATAAAGTTACAAGTTGAAAGAGAAACGGAAGAATTTAGACGAGTCTTTAAAGAGCACACTGGGAAAGACTACAGATTAGCTAGTCAAATTCCATTCATACTGGCAGGAAGCATGAAGCAGCGAAAGCTACCAATAGATGATGACTGGCTCGTTACTCTTTGGGATCATAGCATACTTCGATGTAGGACAAAAGTAAAACCATTTTTAAAACGAATCAGGCTTCAACGTTTATTTGTTGATCTCCGTCTCATGATACAGAATATTTTTCCTTTCAAAGGTAATAGTGAAAGAGATTCAACAGAGCGACATGATAAACGTCCGATTCAAAGCAGTGCAGAGTTGAGTGTCGGGGCTAATAGTGAGAAACACAATGGTCAAGGTGTCCCTGGGCAGCAGGAGGGACAAATACAAAATGTACCATTAGCTGATGATTACAATGGCTTCAAGAAAGAAGAGGAAGAAATGTCTGAGCCAAGAGATGGTGTTATTGATCTGCAAGAAGATGGCCTGGAACGTATGGAGGACTTTGATTTGCTGTCAGAAATTACTTCTGCGATGCCTAAATTGAGCGATTAATTTAACGATTTACTGCTTTTATATTGCTGTAATTGTTATTACATCTAGCTAAACATTATACGTGTAGATAGCAAAATGCATGCACAACGTGTTTTAGTTAATGGTCTCTCTTTTTTTATTACTTTCCTTTGTATAGCAGTTACCGGTATATGATTTTAAATAAACTTTGTGAGTAATAATTGCCATGTTTACAATAGTTGTTTAATTACCATTTTTATTTTGCAGCCACCAGTGGTTGTTGAACTACTTGAGAAAAGTCCACCTTCATCTGGACTATACCCTCTCACCGTTACCATGACACCAATGACCACACCCACTTTAGTCCTACCAGTCACCTTTGATTTGATTGGTCTGTTCTGCAATGATATCGACACTCGTCTGGTGGCTAAGCAACTGAGAAACAGACTACAGGAACAAATAAAATTAATAGCACAAACCATCATGGTATAAACTCTCTCCTCTCTTTATAATTTATATATTATTACTTTTTAGGTTGATAAAGATACTAATGATCAAGACATTCATTCAGTTTCTTTCTTTCATTTCAACTTACCCAATCAACACGTCCCCATCACTATCCCATACCCTCACCTTCCTCTCTCTACTGATACCACCATCACTCCTTCTCCTCTTCCTGACTCTTCCCTTCTCTCCCTTCGAACTAAACTCCATCAAACCTTTTGCCTTCCAACTAATCGACCGTTTCTTCGAAAGACTAACAGACAATGGTCACCTTGGAAGCAGGAGGCACGCCTGTTTGATCCACACGTGTCATTAAATTTGACAGAAGGTTCTAAATTATATTATTTATTTATTATTAATATTATTAGGTGGTGAGGGATTAGCTTTGGTGAATGGCAGTTATCTTTATTATCATTACATGCAAGAAAAGTTTAATGATAAGGTATGAACTCTCCTCCTCTATATCACTTTGTTTCTATCCCTCATTCTTAAGGGTTGGGGTTGTGCTTATAGATCCCTCCAGACAATATGGTCTTGGTTTCGTTGTCAAGGCTACACTGATGTACCTGTTCCTACCCACAGGGAGATACAGCAGACTCTGGTTGATTGTGGGGATAAAGAGGTGAGGGAGAGAGAGAGGGTGGGGTAGAAAGTTTATGAAGTAATATTATTAAAAACCATTATTCTGAAAAATACCCTGTACTATACCCATGGTTTTTTTTCCAAAAAATGGCTCTGAAATCATCTCCAATTTTTATTACATTTTCTGATACATATTGATGTCCTGATACTATGTAGAAAGTTTGAGCCAATTCCAACTTCAAATTTTAAAGTTATGGCCATTTTAAAAATTGGCCAAAAT